TTAGAACACTTCTCATTGGGTAACAAAGTCGTAATTTTTCATTTTTGTCAAAAAGTGTCTATAGTGTGGTGAATTATGGTTTAGGTTTTTTTTTAATAAAGTTTCAAAAATTTCTATGTAGGTGGAAAATGTAGTTGATTACCAAAGGTTACAATTTTTATTTTGAAGACTGCATGGTCTAGGAAGTGTACATTTTTTTATGGGGCAAGTTTCCAAGGGCGGGTTTTCTAGGGGCGAGTTGACTGCCAAAGAGTGTTGCCAAAGTGCAAGCCAGCGTGTTATTTGATCACAAGTGCGAGACATATCACAAGTGTGAGCCAGCGAGCCATGACGTCACGACAATAGATACGAGACGTTAGCCAGTTTTACGAGGTATCGGCTGAGATTTGTGGAGTACAATTCAAAAAACAACTATAGGTCTAATAATGAATTATTGTGATGTTAAATAGACAATGTTAGCTATCAAAGAGCTACGTTGTTTTTCATTGGGACCTTCGTCCCTTCAAGGCTATGCCTATACCATCCTAGCTAGTCTAGGCCTAGAGTAGGATAAGGCTAGCGTGACATGCGGACGTTGGTACGAATAGGTTAGTCTACAAACGTCAACTAAAGTAATTAATTTTACCCGGCAGAACAAAAGAAGGGAACTCCGCTTTTCAGTCGTCTTAGGCACTCGTTTTTTGACGAACAATGACCTTTCAGAGGTCAAATTGCTGTCAAGAATATGAATTGGCCGCTTCGCAGCATTCGCACATCACCCAATATAAAATCATTTAAAGCTGCCTTTAAACACCTTAACCTGACCGACGTATGCGACAACCAGCAATTTGGTGTTTGTATGTGAAAATACAGATACAGATTATGAGATTAATTATTTATGCCATGTATATACTGTAGTATAAAGCTTGATTTTCCTGATGTAACAATAGAAGAATACAAACTTGTATTTCATGGTGTAATTTTGATGCACTTTATCACAGGTGAATAAATTATTTATAACATCTTATCACTTTTTTAATGGACCAGTTACTCCATCAAGTTTATTTTCAATTCTTATGAGTCCATTCTGTGATGTTCTGCTTATCTGTCTGTTTTTACAAAGCTTTTTCAATTGTTTGTTTGCTTCTTCGGTACTTCACATTTGCTGTGTGTTTATTTAAGGTCACCCGATCAGCAGGATGATCAGAATCAAGTTTTAATTTGAAAATAGCACCATATCCTTTTTAAAAAGTATTTAGCATGCTAAAAAAAAAAGTAGGTTTTATCTTAACTCCTTATAGTCATAGGCTCAATTAGAAAAATTATTATTACACTAACAGTCTTATGCTGAAGCTATAATTGATTGTATGCTAGTAGTATACTGGTAATAATAAGGCTGATGGTAACTGTTTATATGCAAGGTTTCCTTTACAAGCAGTTAGCTCAGCTGGGTGCCACCTTTAAACTGGAAAGCATGAATAAAGATTTAAATTGAATTTAATTAAATTAAATAAATATTGATGAGGATGATGATATTAATGATAATTAAATAATATAGCAAGTTACATTACATCCCATTTGGTTTTGATGGAATAAACATGCTTCATTGCTTGGTACTGTGTGCACTCTATTTACACCTTTATCATCTGTCACTAAAGTTGACTGACAGTCAGGTCTGTTTGATGTTTCCATGGTCACTGCTTGTACAGGTAGATTGTTATAAGAGGGTTGGAAGACCAGTTAATAGGAATTAGCTCATCTATTTTCAATAGGTTTGGTATTGGTGTAAACTGTAAGAAAGTCAAAATAACCTAAAGTTTAGTTGTTATGTAATTTAAAATAGAAAAGTTACCAAGGACAAAATATTTATTACATACTGTAGAATATAATTACAATAAAAGCTATGTTTTTGGGTCAACAGGCTTTTAAAAAGACATGAACGAAAAGGTGTATTGATTTGATGTAGAATATTAACAATATTATGTCTTGGATATAGGATGCTGTGTTTAATATTGCCTGTTTATTATGTCATAAGCAATAAAATTGTTCATAAAATTGAGCATTTGTAAGGTGGAGTTCATAAAACATAGGTTGTTGCACAGTATATTACAGTATGTCAATTTAAAAAAAATATTTGTTGACTTTGAAATTAAATATCAGTTTTAGTGAATTATTCCTGTAAAAGACACATGTATATATTTTTACTGAACTTGCTCAGGAAATGTTTGTTGTTTATCCCCACATCCCTCCTACCCCCTTCCCATAATCCACCTTAATCATTCATCATTCTTTTAAAAAGCACTCCATAACCCATGTGCCAAATGACTAGACATTACTATATATTGAACTTAAATATTTGCAGGGTGACCCGGTGGTTCTTAGCTGGGATTCAAGAGAAGTGCACTTCGCATCGAAACGCGTCCCGGTGCCAGTAGGCAGTCATTCATGTCAACTAGTGATTGGTGATGATGTTCACGAGCTGTCAAAGTTCAGTGTGAAGACAGTCACCCAGGATATCACCCTCATTATCAAATCAAGTAAGTCAAAATTTATTATGTCTTTGTTTTATTTATGCTACCTCTTGTATCATATTTTAATTTTCAACTCATTTGGATTAGAAACCAGGAATGAATTGAGGATGAGTACTTTTTCAATTTATATTGTTTAATTAATTTCTCCAGTAATATTGAATATTAAAAGAAATCTTGAATCTTCTCATGATTTAGAAAGGCATGAAATGCTAAGAATGCAATATTTCGGAGGTCTTTCAACCTTAAACAGTTATTTCGTTTAATTTGTTAAATAAACATAAACCATTTATCCATTCATTCTCTCATAGTCAATTTTTTGTTTGTTTACATGATTTTTAAATGTTCTAATATTTTGGGTTAGTGGTGAATTGATTTTTTATTATTCTTTTCATAAAATCCATATCGTATCAAAGAAATGTATTGCTGCCTATTTCTTTTAATGTTAATGAATTTCAAAGTCTGGCTTAAATAGCCTTTTCATGTTAGTTGTAAGGAGCAGTTTTATTTGTGCAGGCCTTTGAAAATAAACTGAGACTTTGCTAGATAATTCTACTTATTCTCCTTTGTATGAATTTGTTGCAATTTATTATGCAATTTGGAATATTCTTACATCTATCATGTCCTTTATTTCGCTTATCGTTCCATGGTGTTTTATTGATCAACCTCAATTGATGTACATGCCTGCGTCGTACATTTCTTTGTGCTGTTATTTTTAACAGATGCGCCGTGAAATAGGCATAAGTAATGCCCTTTCATAGCGCACTTATAATAGTTCTTGGCGGGGTTTCTTTTTACAATCATATTCTCATTGAATTTTAATTGACTCAAATGACTTAATGTTGGAAAGAAAATATCCTATTGTGATTTTATGTTTTTATTTTAAAACTACATAATTTGTATTAAATAATAATATTACAATGTTTTTATGAGTCTTAAAGGATCAATATTCATGTTTTTCGGTATTATTATAATTGCTTCAATCATTGTATTGTATCTATACCTATAAACAATGCTGTTTTTAAAGCTTATTGATGTATTTCATTTTTTTTTCACAAAATTATTATTTTTATTAAGTGGCAGATGCATACATTTTACCTTTCTGATTGTTTTAATTACAACTAAAGTCAGATTCCATCGAAGTATACCAGACCCATTAAAAGGGCATTCACTTACTTCCTGCAACCTTGTACCCTAGTCTCTGTTCTTTTCTAAATCTAGGATGTACTGCAATTATAATGAATTAATTAAATGATTAATTAAATTAATTAGTATAAGCCAAATAATAAGATATAGATTTTTGAAAAAAATTTATTTAAAGAACTAGTGGAAATGGGGACATAACACCCATTTTTACCCTAATTTTTAATAATATTTACCTCAACATTTTAAAATTTTCCTGACACTTGATTTATGGACATCTGGCTCAGTAGTACGGAGCATTTTCCAAAAACCGAAAGGTCCACTGATTAATCTCAGATAAGAAAGTATAATACATACTCCAAGTATTGAACACGATGGCGTGTATTTCAATACTTGGAGTATGTATTATACTTTCTTGATTTATGGTTACTGTTAAAAACTCCCCTTTTCATCAACTGCTTTCTACATTCAATGGCGGCTTTTACTTTTCAAAATCAAACAATACACATCATTGACCAATCAATGTATGTCTGCTTACAGGTTCTTTAGAATTGACAAAGCAAATTAATCAATAACATAAGATAACAAAAGATAACAGGTCTTCCCAACTGGCTAACACTCTGGACACTTGTTGACTTAGCCATAACATTTGTATACAGTAATTACTACAGAGGCAGTTGCAACAGTAAGCTGTCTCTTGGTGTGGATCAAATTCGATAAGGCATAACAATGAAATTTGGCCGGTAACTAACAACTTAACATTGGTATGGTAATAATATTTGTCTTAAATATTTGTAAATTTATGTGTACAGCTAGTTATTAACTTATAGACGTGCAGGATTGGTTAGCACTCTGTGCGATTTCCTCCTCTCAGTCGTAAGGTCAAGGGTTCAAATCCTTTAACCATAGTTTGTGTATGTTATACATAAGTATCTCTCTCTCAGGAGTGTAATTGCAGCCTGAGTCAAGTTTTGGTAGTGTAAATTTTTTATGTTTGTTTTTTTAAAATTTGTTCTCATTAAAGGAAAGTCTTTTTTACAGAAATTATCTAGTTTTACCCTTGTTGTGTTGCTTGTTGCTAAAATACCAATTTAACCGAATAAAATATAACATAGATTATCAAAAACTGTTTGACATAAATTACATTATATAATATGGTAGATCTAGACATTAAAATCAATATTTTAATTTATCTATGGAAACCAGCATTAAAATATGGATTACATTGTGTCTTCCTGACATAACTGGCTATTCAAAGAGCTTGTAGCTCCATGTTCTAATTGTGTGACAATTTAATGGGTTGTGTAATGCCTTGCATATGTCACCTCCAACATTTTGTTTACGTTGCTATATAATTCAGTACTACAATGAAGCTGTGGTTTATGGGTTCTTCACCTCCATACTCTACTTTATGTTTATAATCAGGAAAAAGCAATACTGTACAGTTGATAAGACGCAGGGGAGGATAGGGGAGGATTTAAGGAGAGGTAGGGGGCACGTTTCCCTGTTTTGCCACTGCAGTCTTATTATTATTTTTAGATACAGTAATTACCTAGAGTACAGTATAATTGTACTACTTGTAGATGAAGTTAGTGCCCCCTCATCTCAAAAATCCTGGATCCGCCCTGGAGATATACTGTACAGTACATATGAGAAGGCACTGAAGCAACTTAAATCCTTTTTAATAGAAGTATAGTATTTTCATTAATTTTTTTATTGTTTATAAAAATTTGACCAAAGGAACGGTTAACTGTAAAGTATAGTGGAAATGATGAGGATTATACCCTATTCAGACTACACTCTCTTGCGATCAGTTGCGATGTAATCGGTGGTAATCCAAAACTAATTACTCCCGATCGCAATCAATGAACACATTCAGACCAACACAAACAAACTGTACATTCTAGGGCCTAGGCTTCCGGTGTCTAGGCCTATGTTGCCTGACCTCAGCCAAACAGTGACTATGGAATTCATTGTGATTCGTTGCGATCAGATTCCGTGGTAATTGGGAGTAATAAAGATTGTAGCACCCAATCGCAACGGGTAACAATTGTGATATCGATTACATATCGACTACTATTGGTGAGCTTTCACACACGATTTTACTTTGCGATTGGGTGTCGCAATTGCTACAACCGATCGCAATGCGATGCTAGTCTGAATGGGGTATAAGATTACTAGAACACACTTCACTATATTTGCATGGGATTAAAGTAGGAAAAATATACAGGATTAATGCTTGTGTAATGGAATAGCTACAGTTTTTGTTAAATAAAGTGTGTATGCAAACCACCATGTATACAATCACTATTGTCAATGACTCAATAATAGGATTAGCTATCATATTACAAGTAACATAATTGTTATTCACCTGTAAGAAAGTACAGTATGGAAACTTGTTGTTTTACGTTGCATTACTCAAATAATGTTGCATTGCATAGACAATGTTGCAGCTTACCCTTGGCATTTGCTGCTACAAAAACATGAGTAATACATTAAAAGTGGAAATAACAACATTACGATTTCAACTCAAATTCAATAACAGGATCACATTTTACTGAATAGTGGATGGATCATTATAATTTACAAATCATAATGTTAGGTCAAAGTTCAGTAAGTATTATACTTGTTTGAAGTGTATGTGTGGGTAAGCTGGTTGCCTTCCAATCTAGGGTCTTGGGTTCAATTCCTGGTATGGTTTCAGGATTTTTCTCTTATGACCAAAACAATTCCACTCCATATTAAAACTCAGTGAGGCTTTAGTTGGCTGTAAAGCATCTTGTATAGTATGTTTGTAAACGGGATTGCAACTTCGAAAGTGATATGAAGTTTGCATTATTATATAATATATTATATATATGTATAATATATATTAGTATATATTATATATTATTATATTATATAGTTATAATAATAATAGATGGATTTATATAGTGCAAATAAATAAGGTTTCTATGTTATATATGTTATATGTTTTATATTATATAATTTTATTGGCATACTGTATCAATGGCATTTTTTTTTTTTTTATCCTTGGCATTTTTTTTTTTTTTAGTTTTTTTTTTTTTTTTTTTTTTAGATTTTGTTCTTTCCATGTTTGAAAATCTGACAATGCTATAACTTATCAGATCTATTACAGTGCCAACTCATCTGTTGAGTATAGATAAAATATATACTTAAGTCAGACTTCAGATAATTTTATTGTTGATATTATATTCTTTTGTAACATTGTTACAATGTATGTCATGGTTCGTAGAGCTTTAATGGTGCAATAGATGTTGGTCTACTAAAGCCATAGAATAGCTTCATGCTTAGAAAGAATTACTCCAAGTTTAATTGTGGTATGCAAAATAGAATTTTTTTATAATCTGCTTGTAACATTTGCACATGGTTCCAATTGAAATCATGATTCCGGCCACGTAAATTAACAAGTGATGCATGCTGGGAAATTCCACAGGAAACCTTGATAAGGACGGCACTGGTTAATGTTGTCGATGAATATGACTCACGTTCACTCAATCATAAGCAGCACATTTAATCTCCATGTTTTATGAAGAAAAAGTGCCATAGTGAAAAGGGGAAAAAATAAATTGTTTTGAAATAGATTAATCTTTACTTTTTTGAAAATTATGTAAAGAACTGTCAAAATTAGTCTTTTTGATTAAAAAATTTGAAAAACAAATTAATGCAGTAAATAAGTAAATACCTTTTTGTTTATAACTACAGAATATTTACCTAGTCTGTTAATAGCCCATGGGTGATCAATAGAAAAATTTCCCTTTGAAAACTGGATAGCCACCTGCAGGCTAACACTGTAAAGTATCTCATTAAAATACATTCACAAATTTTTTTTAAAATAGCTGTTTTAGAATTGATTCTTTGCCGTTAAAAAAATGTATGAATTGTACGTATGCTCTACGGTTATCAAGTAAGAAATTTTAAGTAACATAAATTTTGTTTTGTTTATTAATCTAAATGTGTTACACACCTATGTAGAATCTATCACAGTATGTCTTCATAACCTTTACCAAATTATTCTGTTTTCCTGGCTAAATAAACACCAAACAGGCTGCCAATCTATAAACACGGTATCCCGTGTCTGTTATTAGTACAGCAACATTTATGCGACTACTTCTATGTAAATGACCTGGGTTACTGTTTATTGATAAAAGGTTTGAAGTTACTAGTACAGAAAGGTTGTTATAAGAAAGGCTTGTGTTTATCAATGTTTGGAGAAATGCTTCAAAGCGCAACGGTCAAAGCATCAATTATTTTCTGTTATAGTTGAATTCTTAGTCTGCTAGTCCGTTAAATAACAGAATTAAAAGCATACTCACGGAGGTACTTTGACAGTGCATAAAGTACAATGAAAATTAATCACTTATTAATTTTATTGAATGTAAGTTTTTCTGATTAATAATAATATTGGCATATGAATAATTCATAACTAACACAATATCAGAAACAATGTAAATATCATAGCCTATGATATTTATGTTCATTGCAATATTTAAATGGGGTTTGGTATTGCCATGGTAACACATGCTCATTCAACCATAACAATCTTGAATATAAAAAGTTTTAACATAGATATCTGTAGTTTATAAAGACAGTTCAATATTTAGGGGGCCTGCTATTGCATGGATGTTTGCAGAGTATTGCTGTACATTAAAAATCTATGCATGGTTGAGTGAATACTGAAAGATATACAAGTGGTCTGACAAACCTTAAGTAGTATGTAGAAGTAATGCTTGCATTTCAACATGCTTAGTGAGAGTTCCTTGATGGGATTAATGTGAGCCCATTCTATATTATGACACAAACCTCTTGGGACTGCTTGAACTTTAATGATGCATCGCAGAATGTTATAATATGTTTGGATTTTGCCTCTGATTGGTAATTGACCTGATACTTTAAGTCGGCTAACAACCTCATCAGCTGCAGTTTACCGTTTTTGTTTATGAAAATGTTTTCTATTTTTCATAACTCTGCACTGTAAGCTATTGGCTAAAATTCAGTTAGGTTTGTTTGTTTCAGATGCGAAGTTGGTGCTGCACACAATGACTGACGTTAAAAGTAATTTATTACACTAAGGTTTCGCTGGCGGTCAATACCTTCTTCATGTGCTTGAATCTTGTTGTAGATACTGATTTGACTTTTTCCCTCCTTTCTACATTTTGTTAACTGTATTTGGTTTTCTATTTATGTAATTTCATGGAGCTACTCTTATTCTAATTTGTTTGGCTTTTGATAATTTTTCCAGGTTTAAGTTGTCGTTGTAATTGTTAAACAGGAACTTGAACCATTCTGCACTCTAAAGTAAATACCAGAATTATTATGATTTCTTAATATCAAATATAATATCAAAGTATTTTTGCTTTTCAAAATAGAAGCTGACTCCATAAAAAGATTAACAAGTATGATGAACCCAGAGACAGCATCCGGTGAGACTGCCGACCTTTCTCTAGAGAGTGATGAACCTTTAAGCCATCATTCAAATGGTGGGTCAGTGAGGTCAAAGGTTGGAAAAGATCTTCGGGATGATTACAAGTACATGAGGAATGGCGATAGGAATGGTGATTTCGAATTAGCCACATCAAATCACATCACATCGATGAATGGTGAATTATCTAACCTTCAACGAGACCTGGATGTTGGCTCAGAACATGGATCCCACGTTAGTCATCGGAGCAACGACTCCCGTGGAAGCAAGCACAGTCTGCATAGTAGAAGTGGTGCTCTCAATTCTGTCGGTTTGCCTAGCAATTATCCAAGTTTAACTAGTGATCATGAACTCTCTGAGATATTTAGGACTGCCGGACGAGGAAATTACAAGAACGACGGCAGTAGTCAAGGAACAATTACTCCAGGTGCATCTGACATGGGGTCAATAAACTCTATTCCATCGAGCACCCACAGTTCAAATCATCAGAATTCACTGGATTTAGACGTTGCCTTGAAGCCACGGGAATATCGTCGTTTTGGTGGGGGTGATAGTCAATCCGAGATTGTTCGCATGCGTCGAGATGACCTGAAGCTTCAACATTCACGTTCTCGACCAGTTAGTCTCCCCGATCCCAGTAACTACAAGGACTTTCTAACTGAGGGTTTTAATCGGGAAGATATGCAGAGGCAAGCGCCACAGCCGTTGTCAGTTAAGACACCATTGATGACAAGCCGTGCATCATCCATGAGCATTTCAAGTCGTAATTCATCACATAACAGTAGTCGGGCTTCATTAGTTTTGCCAAATGGAGGAATTGAGGCTGAGAGTGCAAAAGGTGATGAGAAGAAATTGAAAGAAATGGAGGAGATGGTAGAATCTTTAAAAGCGTTGTTGAAGGAGAAGGAACGCAACATTAAGGTACTTGAGGATGATTTGCAGGATGTTCAGAAAACGAATGAAACACTTTTGAGGGAAAGAGAGGAAGTGGTCAGGGCATCTAAACAAATGGTAAGCTTAACTTGTTTTGTCTCTTTTCTATTTTGTGGTTACTGTATTTAAAGTTTTCTTGGAATATTGAATATTCTCCATGTCATGTCCTCAGCTTTCCTCCTATCCTTGTCTGTGTTTCAACATTTTAACTGAATTGAAAATTATAACTTATTGGGAGAAATAATTTTTTTTTAAATGGCAAAAAGCCATTATGTAAAAAATTAATTGAAAAAAACAATACCCTGGATGACCTATAAAGTTAGCAACAGCTGGATTCTTTAACTGGAACTCAGACAAACAGTGAAGTATCAAAATAAAGGAAACAAAGAACAGAATTGAATGAAATTTCACAAAGTAGAAAGAGCTCCCACCAGCCCCCAAATCAACCAGTACATGAACCCTCTGATTATAACTTGGATTTCAAAATCACCAGCACGGATCAGCAACCAAACAAACTTTGACCAGGTCTGAATTGAATGAAATATGCTGTAACAACTGAAATCTTTTGATTACGTCAGTTTGTGTTTCAAAAACTAGCTGGCAGGAATTTATTTTCTGTCTTTGTAAGAAAACTGTTCTTAACCTTGTGTTGTCATAAGTAAGCTTACTGCTATACTCTCAAAAACATCGATTTAATTGCTCGAAATGCCCAGGGTAGTTAATATTATGAATGTTAAAAAAAGAATGACATTTGACATTTACTGGAATAGCACTTTTAACTGAGAGTTGAAAAGCACTTCACAATCATTGTTCATACAATATACAGAGCATGCAAACTCCCCTATTTCTGGTGAGTATTTCTACATTATTTTGGCATGGATATTCAGTATAGACCACATAACAGTCAACACACAGTAGTCTACTTCCTACCATTTGAGACAAATTCAGATAAGTTGGCATGCCCAAGGATGTTAGTGGGGAAAACCTCAAGTTTGGAAATTTCCATAAAATCGCTACACTGATGCTGCAAGCAGGAAAAGTCTATGGAATTCGACTCATTGACCAGCATCTCCAAAAGCTAGCGATAGCATGTAGTGATTTTTTGGATAAACAGACTTATAGGATTATACAACCTTGGTCTCATGGCTCATTTGGTAGAGCATCTGGATAATCAGCTGGTCTTAGGTTCAGATCTTCGTTGAGACATTACATTTTTTTATTTTGTTCTTGATTAGAATGAAAAGCAATTGGATGACCATTTACGGGACAAAGAAACCTTAACAACAGAGATAGTGCTGCTGAAGCAGCAACTGTCAGACAAGGCCCAGACAGGACAAGAAATGAGTTCACCGCATTCGCTAGAATTCAATCCAGACCATCCCAAGGTTCTTCAAAAGCGAATTGGTATGACAGTATGGTTATTTACTATTATTATTATTATTATTATTTTTTTTTTTTTTGATTCCTCTAGACTTGTATAATGTTTCCTACCCACTTTCTATTCAGCTCTGTACAAACACAGAATTGTGACAAATGTAAGGAGGGCTAGTGTTGTGAGTCCATTAACTTGGACCGACCTCTCCATTGTAGCTATGTTTCTGACACTTGGCTGGGATGTGTGATAACCACACCCATAAGTAGTAAATTGTATCCCAGCTATGACCTCCTGACCCCCCTCCCCAACACACACACACACACACACACATTGAGTATTATTAAGAATAATTAAGCGTTAAGCACTACGTAAATCTAACATATTATTATTATTATTATTATTATTATTGTTATTATAAAGTAATAGAAGGAGCACATAATGCAAAAAGCCTTCTACTGGTAGTATTTTATTATTATCCACACTGGCCTTTACAGTAGTTAGTTAATACATCATGTGTTTGTTATGTTCTCCTCTCACACTGGGTGTTGGGTAATACATTATTTCATTAGCCACACCACTGCTTCTTGTTGATGGCCACTCCCATGCAGGCTTTGAGGCAGTATTTGTTATCGATACACCACTGACTTACTGCAATATTAGATGAAGTGTTTCTCTGCCCTTTGCCATTATGCTACCTTTTCACTTTTTATGCGTCCTAATTTTCTAATTATTTATAATTATATACAGTACTGTGTACATTATTGTAAAATTATATCCTTTTATAATTATTAGAGTTTCACTTGAACACAAAGAACCATTGTTTTTTTTTTTTATCTTTAGCTGATTTGGAGAGCCAACTGAGTGATCTACAAGAAGCTAATGAATGCGCTGAGGCTCAGCTCCAGAATGCTGACAAAGACCTTGAAAAATACAAAGAAGAAAATGCAAGCCTTAAAATGGTGAATGCCCTCGGGGTGGAAGATCTCACTGCAGAAAATGATAAACTAAAACGTTTGGTGAGTGAGCAGTAATTAATAGAGTGCTTTAGGAATAATAAATAGAAATTTTTAGAATGAAAAGCTTTTTTTTCAAAGGTGAAAATCTATACAACATAATTTGTAATTATTATACTTTAGAATATTGTGCTTTTAAAAGAAATATGAAGGCATTCGTTTTTTTATAAACTGTGTTTATATTTGAATATCATGGTATCATTTTCCAGAGATCCAAGGTAGGTACAGTAGAACAGTCTTACTTAATTGGATCACCCTGGAAAATGATTGGAAATTAATAAATAAATAAAAAAATGAATAATACATTGATTTATGTGGCAAAGACGAGCCAAACCAGTCACTCGTCGCAAAAATCGATTTTGAGTTATTAATACAGTGTTAGAGAGTAAAATACTGCTATAAAATGGTAAAAAAATCGTTCAAATCGGACATTTCCTTATGAAGTTACAAGCGTTTAAACATACAGCTGTTTAAAGAACTATATATGAGAAATCAGCCTTCAAAGTTTATGATTTCAGGCATTTCTCATGCAGAAACTATCATCAAATCCTTAAAAAGTGTTGTTTTAACATTGAAAATGGGGAAAATAACAGCATAGAATGATGTATAGATATGTAAAGATTAGTTTAGTGCAATAAAATAGATTTTTAAAAATTTGACATTCCAGCATGTTTTGGCCATTTTCTCTGAAACATGATTTGCGACGAGTGACTGGTTCGGCTTGTCTTTGCCACATATTTAATCAAACTCAAGATGATAGTATCAAATATGATGAATAATAAATAAATGGAGGACAAAAATCAAAACTGAAATATATTTGGTTTCTGTTAATAAAGGTTGCAGAACTGAAGGAGTACAAAAGACACCGTGGACATAATAGAGTGTTCGAGGATGAAGTTAGTCGACTGCGTGCAGACACGCGTGTACTGCGCGAAACAAATCATAAGTTAGAAGAGGAGAATATCAAATTACGGGAGGACTTTCTGGATTTGCAACGCAATCATGAAAATGTGAAGATGCTTGTGAAGCAGGAAAGGAGGAGGAAAAAATCACCCACCAATTATAAATCAAGTGAGTGCAATTTTTAAAATGTTATTATCCAGGTGTTTCTTTCAAATGTTTACCTATGTTGGTTTCCCAGGTGTTTATAACTGCTTATAATTCATGTATTGCCAACAGGTTTTAATATTATTAATGCATTGCCTATAAGTGTTTATTATCCAGGAGTTCATGGTTGGTGTTATTTAGGTTTTACCCCCAGGTATTTAGTATCTGGGTGAAGTGGCAATACCATTGCAGGTTCCCGAGGTCACAGGACCCCCGTCGGTGAACTTTTTTCCTTACAATATACTTTTTCTCATATTTCAAGTATAATCATCTATTCAAAATAAGATATAATGTGCAGAGCAGTGTTAGCCAATCATGTTGATGAAATCATAATTGTTATTTGTTATTAAGGAATAATGGCTGATTTCTGTGTAACATAAGCCAACGATTACATTTCAGATCAAAACAAAGTTGAGGAGTATGAACGGCAGAGGTTACTGGATGACCTTAAGGTAGCCCAAGAGAAGGTCAACAATGTCGTTAATGATCAGAGTATCCAGCCTCGTATTAAAGATACTGATTATCTCTCGCCGAATGTGAACAGCTCCCGGCACTATTCTGCTGGAGATGGGCGTGGCCTTGGGTCTCAACTATTGCCATCAAAATTTTCAACTGCAGAATTGACCGGAAAATCACCTAAATCACCTCAATACGCCTGGCTTGGTATGTTAACGATAAAAATTATTCCCTTTCCTATCCTTCCTCTCAACTAATTGATAATCATAATAGACTGTTTTGTTATTAATAAATTTTTTACTATTTTTATATATTGATGCTCATTAATTTGATAATAATAATAATAATAGTAGATGGATTTATATAGTACAAATAAATGAGGTATCTATGCGCTTGACAATATTGAAGTCAAGAAAACAAAGAAAAAAGCCACAAAAAAACAATAAACATCAAGCTAGCACCCAAACCGAAGTATGGGGTTACACCATCACCGCCAACCGGAGATCTGTGTTTATGTACTCCGGTTAGCATCGGTTAAGTCTTGATCTTTTCTGGGATCAGGTGCCTCCTAACCTGGAACAAACAACACTAGCAAGCAAGGTGAAACAGAGAAATTGAAAAAAAAAAATAAAAAAAAGTAGTTATAAAGAGCCAAATAGAAAAATTTTGAGTTGCTTCTTAAAGATGTCAATTGACGCAGATAAATAATCTACTTGTAGATGCATTTGATGAGAAGCATTTATCCCCGAGCTCAGACATGAGTGATTCGACGGCCATCTTGACTGCAGGTTGGCAGGCACATGCAGGTCTCGCTGACCACTACCTTACAGAACCAACAACTCAGGAAATTAGCCGTTCATCACGTAGCAGACATAGAGGTAGGCCAGAATTTCTTGGCTTAGCCAAGGATATTGTATGATCCATCATTTTCAGTTGCGTTTTAATCGAAAGTACAATAGTCAAAGGATAGAGATAGGCTTTATTGGAGTTTTATTTTGCTTTAGTTTTAAGAATGATCAATGGAATTCTTCTATTATTCTTTTATTATATATCACAATTTAAAAAGTCCAAGAAATAAAAACATTTGGCTTGCATCATAAAATCACATTTCTTTGAAAAATGTTGATATACAGTCTCTTTAAACCATCAACAAGAAACATGTAAATCTGCATTTTTGTTTTAATATGGAAACGTACATCATAATGTTGATAATAATATTAGTCCAAACACTTAAAAAGCATCTTCAATAAATACTTCTTATGTTGCTTATAAAATGCAATTGTTATTGTATTGAGTTCAAAGTTCAATTATACATGCAGAGTGTTATGCGTTCACAGAAAATTCTACAATATTGGATAAATTCTTTATGGCCTGAATTTTGATAATATTTAGTCCAAAGTGCAGTAACTAACTGGTCTTGCCTTTGTAATATGTACCTTTATATATCGTGTATCGATCAATACAATTAGGCCGGAGGCAGTGTGGATTTTATTACATATTGTAGCCATCAGCCATCGATTGTGTATTTACATTATAGAGAATGCAATAGTAGCAGTTTTAATATCACAAATGAGTTATTGTACACATTTAGAAGTCTTTCTTTGTTATTTTGATCAAGTTGCTGTGGGAATATAATTCTAGGAATAGAGTACATGACATAGTTTGCAAAACTAATTATATTAATAATGATAATGCTATAATAATGAAAAACACATCTATCATTTTTCATCCTTTAGTAGATCATTGCCAAGAATATTTTTAAGCTATCACTGTAAATAATATTATTGATGATGGTTCATTGTGAGGATGGTGTTGATGAAGGTGTTGTGATAGTTTTAATGATGATATTATTGATGATAGTGGGGATAATGTTAATGATGGTGTTATAGTAGTGTTAATGATATTATTGATGATGGTTCATGGTAAGGATGTTTTTTGATGAAGGTGTTGTGGTAGTGCTAATGATGGTAGTGTAATGATATTTATTATTGATGAGAGAGAGGATAGTGTTAATGATGGTGTTATGGTAGTGTTAATGAAGGTCATGGTGTTAATGATATTATTGATGATGGTTCATGGTGAGGATAGTGTTAATGAAGGTGTTGTAGTAGTGTTAATAATGGTCATGATGTTAGTGATATCGATAATGATGTTTCATGGTGAGGATGGTGTTTATAAAGGTGTTGCGATAGTGTAAATAATGGTGATGCTATTATTGATGATGAGGATGGTGTTAATGGTAGTGTAAATAATGAGATTGACTTTACTTGTTTTGCTGTTTTTAATATTTTTTATAATTTGTGAGTGAGGTATTTTATGAATTTAATTAGCATTTGACAAAAAAAAATGTTTTCCCTTCAATAGAATCAAGAAAAAGTCATGACGCAGATGACCTAAGCACGTCAGACTCCACGTCAGTGACAGGGATGTTTGAGCAGAAGAGCAATGGTACGTCCAAGTATCATCGCCGCAACCTTAGCAGCGACAGCTCTACTTCATCATTCCTTGGCGATGCCCTCAACTACAAGTCATTTACTGATCCAAGAATCAGGTCCCGATCATTTGATAGAACAGCCAGGAGTAAACAGAGCAGAGGGGGTGAGTTTCTATTTCAATTGTTCTTACTCAATGGTAACTTTTTACCAAGTTACCTGTATTTCTATAGATGGAAAAAATAGGATGCAAGAAAAAATCTGAATATTGAGTCAAATTATTCATGCATTTTATTCAAATCTTTTTTAGAAGAACAAAATCAAAAGCAGTAAAAATGAAGAAACACATGGTCATCAAATACTCTAGTTATTCGAGATTTAAAAAATGCAAAAGAATGAAACATTTCAATAATATTTATCTACGCTCTGGAACAACCTTCTAGTTTTTCGGCATCTTATATTTTAAAAATGAGCTGAACTTTTTTTTTTAATAAAAAGTACATCATTTAAAATTGAACAGCCTATTTTTATCATTTTTTTTTTCTGTTTTACCATTTCTTTTTGTCTCAATAATGTTGCAAATCTGGACATCTTGGGAGACCTTTACACATGTATCGAATGAGATATTCAGAATAGAAACAGATATTTTAATGAGAATTTTCAAATCATTTGTTGTAATGCCACATTCTTTGTTTTGTTCATAGACATGGTAACAGTTTCCCATCATACACTTCAGGACAAGAACAACTACAACGCTTCTGATCTGACCGCCACCCACAATGCTCGCCGCAACCGCCTTCGTAGCGTGTCGCCACCACGTAGCCAATCTCCACCAGGATTCCGTAGCGTAAGTCCACGTGCCGTTGCAACGCAGCACAATAAGGGAACTATCAGGTAATGTAGTAATTTTATTAACATGATAATTTCTCGTGTTCATGTAGTGGTCTGGCGCAGCAATTGCAGTTTTGCTTCTCAATCTTGAGGTCGGAGGTTCCATCCCTCGGTTGCCTCTCTCCACCCAGGAGTACAAGTGGGTACCTGGTAGATTTAAACACCTCCTATGACCTGGGTAATTATGTAAACCATGACATGACATGATGTGCTATATAAGTGTGCTTTTTAGAATATAAGTATCATGTGCTGTTTATCCTGTCATTGGTTGTGATGTTTATGGTAATGTAATCAAGGATAATTGTGATAACTAAATTTTGTGTCGCAAAAGTAGGAAAACCCATTGTCAATAGAATAATGGGTAAATCCTGCTTAAAGGATCTTCAATAGTTTTAATTAAAAAAATAAAAATAATTTGATATATATTTAATTTTTCTTTTATAATAGTGATCAGATTAGCAAAGGTTATGTGTTGCCTCTAAGACCGTTTGCTCCACGAACTCCTCGAGACATTGAGGTTGGCATGAAAGTGAAATTCTCGCGTCCGAATGGCCGAGTCAGTCAAGGCATGGTGAAGTACGTCGGTCAGTTACCTGGACGCCATGACTCCTACTTAGGTGTTGAGCTGGACACAGAAGGTAATGAAATACTGTATATATTTGTTAGATTTTAGGTACCTCACTAATATTTATTATGTAATAAGAATAGTGGGCAGCTCTTTTTTATTCATATTATTGCATTTTTTTCTTTTGTACAGAGGGTCGCCATGATGGAACATACAATGGAGAAAGATTTTTCAAATGCCGAGCCAACAGAGGGGTGTTTGTGAGTTTCAAGAAGGTTATACTTGTGTGGGCTTGAGTCAGATACTTCTTGTTATTCTTGTTGCCTCCTTGCCAAGTCATCAGCCCTAGGAATCACACCCACACACCCAGTGAAATGAAAATATCCAGATTTGTGGACTGTCACAACCCTTTAAGATTACTGTCATCGTTGTGACTTTACTCAATATACAATATTTGGTACCAAAATAAAGAATAGATTTGTAAATAATATGATGACCAGCAATTATGTCATGAAATGTTTAAAGGCCACAAAATAGTGTGAATGTTTTTAAAATCATCAAAATGAAATTTTGATGGTCCTCTGTTTGTCAAATTGTTTGATTGGGGGCGGGGAAGGGGAATATATCAAAACTATTAGTCAAATAAAGGGTCAAAACAATTTAAAACTTGGAATTTAATTATGATGTTTGTTGTTTTTACGGTAATTGCCTTTTGATAATAATTCATAGTACATTTTATTAATTGAAATTTTTGAAAATGAATTTAATTAATTTTATTTTTCTGAAAAAATGAATATTTACTTGTAAATAACTATAAAATAATTATGGATGTTATTATTTGTATATTGATTACAAACCACATTGAATATAGAATTTAAATATTATGCATTCATAATTTTCTTTCACTAGTAGTCATCTAAAAATATAACAGCCATGTTGGTCTGGAAAATGTAATGAAATAAGACATCATTTTGAAATTATGATTCTCCAACTACAGTACTGTTCATTTGCATACAAACATCTCAGGACAGTTTGGCAAATTCTGGTGCCACCACAGCCCTGGACCCCCACTAAGCTTCGCATTTCTACCACTGGACTGTTTTTAGGCTCCCCTGTTGGGGACACAACATTAGTTCAGAAAAACTAGAGTATTTGATTTTCATGTAGTTTGTGTTGTGTGAAACGATAAACTTAGATCAGTAAAAATATATGAGGAAGGTGGGTCGTGAAAATGTAATAAAATAAGACATCATTTTGATACATCAAACATAAGGTTCACTTGCATACAAGAGAGAGCTTTTGATTGCCCGACTCAAACTCTATAACATAATACTGGTCAGAGAGTCATGGATGATGATGACAATGTTCTTTCTTAAAATTGATTTAATATCTTTATATATCTCTGTTGGAGCAGTTTATCAGTGCCAAATGATTGTATTTGTAGTAGTCATCTTATTGGCTCATGTTTTTAATAGGAAGTCTGAAAGTGCTGTCTTTGTTCTGGCCACATTACTTTTTAGTAAATGATCTACTTAAGAAATATTGCAAACAAGAACTTTTGTAGTTTAATGTAGCAAACATCATTGCTTTTGGAACAATGTACATTTCACCCAGAAAGTGAAATAAATCAATCACCAATGTTTTGCTCTGTTTGTATTACCATCTCTATGGTAATGTATATTGTAAATAATGTACATTTTTATCAGTTTGAATGAAAAAGATTGTATGTTGTTATTGGTTAGTTAATGATGCTGGATGGACCACCTACTGCAAAGATGGTCAGTAAGTGGTCAGTAAATTAATGTTAATAAGTACATCTACTTAACAACTATTCATGAATAGTAATTGCTGAATACATTCCTGGAATGCACCTTTATTGTATTTTTTATTGTAATATTTCAAAATATTGCTTTTAATTTCAGTATTATAAAAATTGTACATCAATTGTATTAATGTTCTTTATATTTTCAGATTATTTTAATGTTGTTAAAAATTGAAGATTAATTCAAAATACTTAAGTTGCCACAGTTGATAAGGAATACATTTCGGAATACATTTTTTTTCAGCAATCAGTACGTCAAGTTATTATGACTGAAATAATATTATCAATCAATTATCCGTCCGTATTCTGGCTTTACTGATGTGTTGATGTCTGTTGGCGTGTGGGTTAATTGTATCTGTACTAGGCTAGATGTAATTTACTGCTAGTTTTTATGCCCAAATGATCAATTGTGCTACTTAACTGTACTGGCATCATTATCACTCTAAAGTGTTTTTTTGTACAATTAAGAACATGTGTGAGGGAAGGGGGTATTAATTATATTTTTGTGAATTTTTTTAAATTCGGAGAAAAGGTATTTGTTACATTTTTTTTTTGTAAAAAGCATTTCTTATACTGGAAGGAGTTTCAAAAATACATTATTTGGGGGAGGGATATGTAGGAAAATATATTGTTGTATACATTTTTTGGAAACCTTTATGGTTTTTGAGTCTCTAGGAGGGAAAGTTATTGGGAGGGGAGGAGGGACAAGCCTAAATGTGACTGGTCAAAATAATCCTATGGTTTTGGGAAAATTTGTCCATTACCTTAGGTTGATCTGAAGTGTGTGCTATGTTTTTGTTTACCTATACTATTTGCGTTGTTAACCTGTTGTATATATACCATTTCATGGTGACTGAATATATACCTATACCTATTTGCAACACACCATTGCAAAATTTCTTAAAATAAATTGTAGTGTACCAAATGTGAATCACCTTCATTTGGCATTCTTATTGTGTGAAATACTGCATGAATTGTTCATATATGTTTACATATATAATATATATACTGTATATATATATATATATATATATATGGTCTAATGGTTATGACGCCCGCCTTGACAGCGAGTTGTCGCAGGTTCGAGTCCCGCCAGAGGCATTTTATTACACAATTTCTTTATTCATTT